CATGCTGAGGCTGATTTTGCATTACTGATGCTTCTTCACCGTAGTTGGGCTAAAAAACTTACACTTAAACTAGGTCTTGTTAAGCTGGCTAAATTTCATTCCAGTTTAGTTGGTTTGTTCTGCCTATCTGAATACTCGTCTATTAATTGGCCACGTTGCTTGCATTAATTACGCTTATGGCTGTTGAACTGTTCGCTGAGCTTGGCAATTTTGTTGCAACGTTTCGTCACCAATCGAGGTGACATCATCAGTGCGTCGTGGAGTGGCGTGCAATAGCGTAGAGTAGCGTAGAGGAGCCTCGGTGAGAGTGCCAAGCTGAGCGAACAGTTCAACAGCCATCTGAACAACCTGAGCTACCAGCCTTCAATTCTATAGCCAATTACGCTTATCTTCGGTAACTTTGTTGCGTTTTGTAGCATTTTTAAATAACTTGTGGATATTTTTTCCTTATCGCGGATTCGTTGCTAACCAACTTACTTCATATGCTTATTTAGCTCAGAGTTATGCCACCGTATCTGTATGCATTATTTGTTTTTATTTATTTATTTATTTATTATTTGTTTGTTTTTATTTCATCTCGTTTTATTTCATCTCGTCGTTCCAGATGATTGGCTGTTGTTTGATATCCCCGGTGTGGCTGCGCTTGATGTGCATGTTGACAAGGTGCCTACCTGTCTATTACCCACTACCTCGTCCATACTGGCTCCAGGACACAGTTGGTCGTTGCTGGAGGGGACGGGGTGCATGGGTCTTGTGGCCGTGCTAGACTCGAAGAGTGGTTCCATGCACTCAATGTGGAGCGGACTGCGGTCCAGCCACCACCTCGTGTGCGCTTGATTTCCCAAATACAGCGTGCTTGTGATTTTCTGTGAAGGAGTGTGGGCCGGTTCCGTTGATGAAGCGTGGCTCCCATCCACATGCATCCCGGTCTTATTTTTATACATATATATATATATATATATATATATATATATATATATATGGCTGGCGGCATCCGGTTTCGGATTTGCATGTCACTGTGGCCAGCCACAGGACGCCTGCGCCTACAGAGGGACCATAGATGGCTTGCGCTGCACCACCCACAGCTCCATCCACACACCCCATATCCAGTGTAAACCCGAAGGAATAAGACCGGGAGGCATGTGGATGGGAGCCACGTTTAATCAACGGAACCGGCATACACTCCTTCACAGAAAATCACAAGCACGCTCTATTTGGGAAATCAAGCGCACACAAGGCGGTGGCTGGACCGCAGTCCGCTCCACATTGAGTGCATGGAACCACTCTTCGAGTCTAGCACGGCCACAAGACCCATGCACCCCGTCCGCTCCAGCAACGACCAACTGTGTCCTGGAGCCAGTATGGACGAGGTAGTGGGTAATAGACAGGTAGGCACCATGTCAACATGCACATCAAGCGCAGCCACGCCGGGGATATCAAACAACAGCCAATCACCTACAACGACGAGATGAAATAAAACAAATGCAATAATGCATACAGATACGGTGGCATAACTCTGAGCTAAATAAGCATATGAAGTAAGTTGGTTAGCAAAGAATCGGCGATAAGGAAAAAATATCCACAAGTTATTTAAAGATACAACAAACCGTAACAGTTACCGAAGCTAAACGCAATTAATGCAAGCAATGTGGCCAGTTAATAGAAGAGTATTCAGGTAGGCAGAACAAACCAAATAAAGTGGAATGAAATTTAGCCAGCTTAACAAGACCTAGTTTAAATGTAATTTGGTTTAGCCCAACTGCAGTGAAGAAGTATCAAGAATGCAACCTCAGCCTCATATATATATATATATATATATATATATATATATATTTGATGGTATATGAGTGAGACGAATGATGGTATACTACAGCTGGAGCACGTCAGGTGACCTTTTAGATAAACTACAGTAGGGAATCGTGCAGTGGTTCTTCTTGAACTGACTTTCAAGATATACCTATGTCGTATAGATCATTGCTTTATTCTTTTTGTGGATCAGAACATGGCGGCACAAGAAACAATTTCCGTATGATTAGTCGACTAAATATCTTGTTTTCTTACATAAGATGCTTGTTATATTGCGCCCACCCGTCGACTTAAGGATTACAAGTCTGGTTGGTAATCCGAGGGCGCGAGCTCGTGCCTGCGTAGGCAGCGGGCAACCTTCGCACTATGCTTAGCCCACGTGCGACCGGTGGTGGTTGCGCGGCAGCGAAAATTCGGTATTTCGCACCGGCGTACTAGTGAAGATTTTAGTGAGCGTACGATTTCTCAATAAGTAGAGCTAATCTAGCAAATTTGGAATCACTATAATATCTTTGGTATAAAAATCACTAGACCAGTGTAACCATCAAGTCAAAGACTTTGAAGCCGCTTATCTGTTAGCGTGGCACATCCGAGCAGTGGATGGATTCCGAAAAGCGAAGGTTGACCGCGGTAAGAAACCGATTTTAAAGTAAACAGCTGGCGCTGTGATCGATATCAGACAATAGCCCCGAATTTTCTGGCAGTGTTGGCAGACAACGAAATTACATGAAATGGAGACCAGTTCCAAATGTTGCGTGTAGCATGAGCTGGAGAATAACTAGGAATTACTTATGAATGGAAGGATTTTGGTGAGTATTTTGTTCGTCGCAATCAGCCGACAATTTAGATAAGTCAACTAGCTGTCCGGAAAAGCACCAGACGACCGTTTCGCCCTATTGGGGCTCTTCAGCGGTGCGCATCCTTTGGTCCTGTGCGGAGGATCGAACCTATGACTGCTAGTGACTCTTGCCAACTAGCCCGCAGCTTATGCAACTGCGACATGGAGGACGGTATCCGACCATGCAAAAGCTGCGGGCTAGTTGGCAAGAGCCACTAGCAGTCATGGGTTCGATCCTCCGCAGAGGACCGAAGGATGCACACCGCTGATGAGCTCCAGTAGGGCGAAACGGTTGTCTGGTGCTTTTCCGGAAAGCTACTTGACTTATCTGAATTGTTGGCTGATTGCGAAGAACAAAAATATTCACCAATATCCTAAACGCATAAGTAATACAAAGTCGCCCTTACGGATTCCACAAAATGCTATGTAGATCCATAGCTGCCGTAACCCGGAAGTCCTGATGCCGTAAGGTCCACCGCTGTCATCTGCATGGCAGGTGCCTGCATGAC